TTTTTTTTTTTTGAGACAGAGTCTCACTCTGTTGCCCAGGCTAGAGTGCCATGGTGTCAGCCTAGCTCACAGCAACCTCAAACTCCTGGGCTCAGGCGATCCTTCTGCCTCAGCCTCTTGAGTAGCTGGGACAGGCACGTGCCACCATGCCCAGCTAATCTTTTCTATATATTTTTAGTTGGCCAATTAATTTATTTCTATTTTTAGTAGAGATGGGGGTCTCGCTCTTGCTCAGGCTGGTTTCGAACTCCTGACCTTGAGTGATCCTCCCACCTCGGCCTCCCAGGTTGCTAGGATTACAGGCGTGAGCCATTGCGCCTGGCCTGTTACCTGTCTTATCCTCCAGCACCTGCCTTTTACATGGAAAGTAGCTCCAGGACACCCTGGAGCAGGACACTACATTCACTGGGGCCAGGAGCATCCCACCTCTCTCTCCCTCACAATGCAGCAGAGGTAACTTGTCCCAAAGCAGGAACAAGGCGACTTGTATCTGTGATCCCTTCGTCTCCCCACATCGAAGAGTGGTTTAGCCCCCACCTCGGGGCACCCACCCCCTCAGGTGGGCCCCAAACACCTGAAGGTGAGACCCTGCTCTTCTTGCCAGGCTATGTTCGTTCCTCTCTATTAAAAGTTGCTATAACGACGTCAAGTTGCCATAACAACGTCAAGTTTCTATGGCAACCGTGATGTGCAGGCTTATGTTGTACAAAGGAAAGGTCTCTGCACAGCACTCTTCTCCAAGCTCTTGCTTTTCCCAGAAAGCAAAACACCTTCACAGTTCAGGCTGCCACCTGAAGAAGCATACTAATTAGAGGGCCTAGAATGGGACCCAGGCAATTGGTAAAACCCTGTCCAGGTTGTTAGAACAAAGCAAGTCCCTGTTTGGGAGAATTGTGTTTGCTTTAGAAGTGACAATAGGGGAGTGTCATCAGTACACAGAGACCCAGGGAAGTGTCTTAGGGCTTATGGAGATGAGCTAGTCCTCTGACTGGGAATATGTAAAACTCACCATGCTAAGCAGTTAGCCATCTCTGGCAGAAACCTAAGAGACTGAATTCAGACCTGTGAATGAATGATCTAGAAACACCAAAAACTGTCATTTTAGGAATCTTATAGTTATTTCAGGAAAGCATGGATGGAATATTATACTTATTTAGTAGACAGAAACTCATTCAAGTGAATCATATTCAGATATCCTGGGGATTCTTATCCTCTGTTCCTGATGTCTTCTTCCATGTGAAGGGGTAACTATGATAAAAACAGCTTTAACCTCTATACACTCACTCCTTCTCTATGGCAAGAATCACTTACCTGATGAAGAAAGTGAACCAGAAGTTGCACAGCACAGGCCCTCTCCCTTCAAAACTCCTGATAGTAATCAGTGCTTAGCCAGAATATATTTTGCTCTGTTCTCTGGGGATGGGTCTAACAATAGGCCCATAGCTCTTCTCCCCCTTTTTTTTGTTTTGCTGGCTCCCCAATCACTCCTATCATTTTGCTCCAGAATGCTTGGGGCTTTAAGGGGTTCCCAAAATACACTCCCTGCTCTAAGCCTGAGCTCTAAACCAAGAAATATGACAAAAGAATAAAGAAAGCAACATATTGATTCTATTCTTTTTTTTTTTTTTTGAGACAGAGTCTCGCTTTGTTGCCCAGGCTAGAGTGAGTGCCGTGGCATCAGCCTAGCTCACAGCAACCTCAAACTCCTGGGCTCGATATCTCGCTCAGCCTCGCGAGTAGCTGGGACTACAGGCAGCACCACATGCCCGGCTAATTTTTCTATGTATATTAGTTGGCCATATTCTTTCTTTATTTATAGTAGAGACAGGGTCTCGTCTTGCTCAGGCTGGTTTTGAACTCCTGACCTCGAGCAATCGCCGCCTCAGCCTCCAGAGTGCTAGGATTACAGGCGTGGCCACCGTGCCCGCCTTACTCTATTTTATAAAGGTGAAATTGGAGAAATTTAGATCTGCCGACACGGTATTTCTTCTTTTTTTTTTTTTTTTTTTTTTTTTTTTTGAGACAGAGTTCGTTTGTTGTCCAGGCTAGAGTGAGTGCCTGGCGTCAGCTAGCTCACAGCAACTCAAACTCTGGGCTCGAGCGATCCTTCTGCCTCAGCTCCGGTAGCTGGACTACAGGCATGCGCCACCATCCCCCACAACGCGCTCGCTAATTTTTTTTTATATACATTATCAGTTGGCCAATTATCTTTCTATTAATATAGTAGAACGGGAGGTCTGCTCTTGAGCAGGCTGTTTGAACTCCTGACCTTGAGCAATCCGCCCGCCTCAGCTTCCCAGAGAGCTAGGATTACAGGCGTGAGCCACCGCGCCCGGCTACCATATTTCTTCTTAATGAACCCGACAATTGGACAGACTCATCCGCCAAGTGGTGCTGCATCAGGACAGTCACAAAAGTTAAGCACTACAATGCATATCCTATTTGCTGTCTCCTGAAGGAGTCTATGTGTGCTCAAGGAAAGTAGCTTGCTCACAAGACTATCCTTGTAGCGGAAAAGAGTTTGAGGACACCTTCCTTGAGAAACACTTCTCAAAGTGAATAAATACCCCTTGCTCTGATTTTACACTCACATAGCAACCTTTGTTTTTAAAAAGATAAGTGGTGAGGAATCACAGTATTTAAAAAATTCTACTATGGAGATGTTGGGAGAGGAAAGCTTAATAGTCTTACAACTGAATCATGTTCATCACCTGACACATTTTTTAAGTCACTAGTTTCTATTATAACTACTATTATATGACCTAAATAATTATCCTGAGAACATTTTAAAAGCACTTGGAAAGATTGATCTCAGAAAACAGCACCACTACTTCTCCACATGGCTGAACAAAAAGACGAGGGGTCATCCCTGGCTCTGCCTTATCCTCACACACCCGACACGTGCAGCCACTACAGGTGCCACCTGTCCTGCCTCCAAACATGCCCTGTCCAGCTCCACCCCTCCCTCTGTGCACGGCTGCAGCCCTGGCCCATCTACCCACGTTCCTCCCCTGGACTTCTGCAACATTCTCCTAATCATTATCCCCAGTCCCCATCTCGTCCCTCTCCAGTCCATTCTCCACACAGTGGCCAGAGGCACCTTCTGACAACATAAACCAGATCATGTCACTCCCATACCCTAACCTCCGCACTCAGAATAAAACCCAAACTCTTTACATGGCACAAATCATGTGGCTCCTGTCCACCCTTTAGACCTCACATCCCACCTGTCTGCATTTATATGCCAGGCTCTAGTCACAGCTTGTCCTCTGCTCCTGGAACAACTGGTGCCCACACAAACATCACAGGCACACTGACACAATGGTCTGTCCATGCCTGGCTGCTTCTTGCCATTTAGGACTCAGTTCAACTGTCACTTTCTAAGAAAGAGCTTCACTGACAACCCCATTTATAATAATCCCTGTCCTGGTCATTTTCTACTCCATGTGTTTATTTTCTTTAAAGTACAAATCTTCATTTGAAAATTGCCCTGCCAATTGATTTATTTACCTGCTTATTCCCAGTTTTCCCAAAGTAGAATGATAGCTCCAGAGACCCTTCCTGTTTTATTCTCTGTACTGTTTCCCCAACGCCTACTTCAGTGCATCACATATAAATCACTGAATAGATATTACTGAATTGAAGGAATTGTTACCTATTGGACACACCAGAGAAGACACAGATATTTAACCTGAGTAACAGGAGAAACTAATGATCAAATTAGACATTAAAGGATTCAAAATTGTAGTAAGACCTTCTTGCAAACCCATGGTAGTGCTTTTCTTTTCTTTCTTTTTCCTTTTTTTTTTTTTTTTTGAGACAGAGTCTCAACTGTTACCCAGGCTAGAGTGCCATGGCGTCAGCCTAGCTCATAGCAACCTCAAACTCCTGGGCTCAAGCGATCCTCCTGCCTCAGCCTCCCGAGTAGCTGGGACTACAGGCATGTGCCACCATGCCTGGCTAATTTTTTCTATATATGTTTTGTTGTCCAATTAATTTCTTTCTATTTTTAGTAGAGACAGGGTCTTGCTCTTGCTCAGGCTGAGTAGTGCTTCTCAAACATGAATGATGCTTATGGTCTGAATGTTTGTGTCTCTCCCAAATTGATATGTTAAAACATAATTACCAAGATTACAGTATTAGTTAGAAAGTGGGGCCTTTGGCAGGTTTTTAGATCATTAGTGCTCCACTTTCGTGAATGGGATTAGTGCCATTATAAAAGAAACCCCAGAGAACTAGCCAACCCCTTCCACCATGGATGGTTACAGTGAGAAGACATCCATCCACGAAGAAAGTGGGCTCTCATCAAACGCGGAAGCTGTTGGCACCTTAATTTTGGACTTTACAACCTCCTAGAACTGTCAGAAATAAATATCTGTTGTTTATCATCTAGTAACTAGGATTGCACTAAGAATCAGGGGTCCTCAAACTTTTTAAACAGGGGGCCAATTCACTGGCCCTCAGGCAGTGAGGGCCAGACTATAGTTTTTAAAAAACTATGAACAAATTCCTGTGCACACTGCACATATCTTATTTTGAAGTAAAAAAAAAAAAAAAACGGGCAAAAACACCTGCATGTGGCCCGCAGGCCGTAGTTTGAGGACGCCTGCATAGATAAGTACCAGACCAACTGTAGATATTACTTTCAATGTAGATACCTCCAACCCCACCTCCTGAGTTCGATTCAGCCTTTCTCGGGTGGGCTCAACTATCTGCCATTTTAGCAAGCATCCCCTGATGATTTTGATGAAGCAATCCATAGACCACACTTGAAAAAATCCTGACCTCAACAGCTCCCAGTTGAGTACCATTATTTTAATGTCTGCCATGCAGAGTTCCGGGACATGTGGAGGGGCTCTGTTAATGTAATTACTCCAAAGTGCACTGGTTCTTCCCTCCCACCTAAGACCACTGACTGGCTTCCTACATGGGATCATTGGGAGGAGTAGGAATTGTTATCCTGTTAAACAGAAGAGGTAGGTAGAAGGTTTGTGACTTACCTAAAGTGTCCCAATGATGGGACCCTGATCTCTTCACTCTTGCTCCAATAGCCTGTCTAGCAAACTCAACAATTACACTTCGTTCTTCTCTATGAGCTCCTGGTTCTGGTGTGTGGAGTCCACACACTTGTCTGATGCTACACTAGAAGGGAGAGAATAAGAAAGCACATGGAATAGGGAGGGAAGGAAGTGGATGGGAAAGCACATGAAATGCAGGGCACAAGGTGATGTCTTGCCTATCTCCACTCAGTTAGCTGGAAGCTATGCAATGATGCTTCTTTCCCCTATCTCCATCCCACAACCCCTCCCCCACATAACAGTGACACTGAAGCTCACATATAATGGAAAAGTGGGATTATCCCTGCTTGCTGTTATATTTTCAAGTATTCTCCCTGTAGTCATGCTATTATGTTAATATATGACATGAAAACTGCAATCCACAAGTGAACAAATCAATGAATTGGACTTCCTCAAAGTTAAAAACTTCTAGTCTTCCAAATATATGAATGAGAAAATGAAAATACAAGCCTCTGAGTGGGAGAAAATGTTTAAAATCATATATCTGATAAAGGACTTGTATCCAGAATATAGAAAATCTCACAAAAGCCAATTTAGGAAGAAAGCAGACACTTCAATAAATAAATGGGCAAAATATTAGAATGGGCACTCCACTAAAGAAAATATACAAATGTCAAATAAGCACATGAAAAGATACTCAACAACATTAATCATTAGGGAAATGTAAGTGAGAATTGCAATGAGATGCTACATTTTCATGAGAATGGCCAAAATTAAAAACACTGACCATACCAAGTGTTGGCAAGTTTGTGGAGAATGAAACTCTCATGCACTGCTGGTTGCAATGAAAAATGGTACAATCACTTGGAAACAGTTTGGCAGTTTCTCAAAATGTTACATCTACCATATGATCCAGCCATTGCACTCCTAAATATTTACCCCAAAGAAAGCATATTTCTATGAATAGACTTAATGACAAATGTTCATAGCAGCTTTATTTATAAAAGTCTCAAATTATAAACAGTCTAAATATCCATCAACAGGTGATGGATAAAACAAATTGTGGTATAGCTATATACTGGATTACTATTCAGCAATAAAAAAGAATGAACTATTGATGTATGCAACAAAATGGATCGATGTGAAAATAAATAGGGTGAATGAAAGAAGCCAGATCCTCCTTTAAAATAATCCTCTATGATTCCATTTAAATACATTTCTAGGACATGAAACCTAATCTATAGTGGCAGAAATGCCATGTTTGCCTATAGACAGGGCAGTGGGAGGGCTAGGGAGCCCAGGTACTACAGAATTGAAAATGCTATGTCCTGGGAAATAACCATAATGATACTTGGGCTTATCTGGTTATTTTAGGAGACATGGCTGGATATCATTATAATAGGGGAAACTATAAGGTAATTACTACTTTAAAAATACTGAATTCTTATAGCTGACATTTTGATAGTTTAAACTAGTATTTGATAAATTCATGGGTTTTTTTTTTTAATTACATTATAGGCTGGGCATGGTGGCTGAAGTGGGAGAATGGCTGGAGGTCAGGATTCCAGACCAGCCTGGGCAACATAGTGAGACCCCCATCTCTACAAAAAATTTAAAAAAAAATAGTGGGGCATGGTGGCATGAGTCTGTAGTCACAGCTGCTCAGGAGGCTGAGGGAGTAGGATTTCTTGAGCTCAGGCATTAGAGGTTGCAGTGAGCCATGCACTCCAGCCTGGGTGACAGAGTAAGACTTTGTCTCAAAAAAAGAAAATTTTATAGAATGGATGAAAATGTGGCAACCATGAAAGTATGCATATTACAATCTCAAATTACCATGAAGACTTTTTTTTTTTTTTTTTTTTGAGACAGAGTCTTGCTTTGTTGTCCAGGCTAGAGTGAGTGCCGTGGCGTCAGCCTAGCTCACAGCAACCTCAAACTCCTGGGCTCGAGCGATCCTTCCGCCTCGGCCTCCTGAGTAGCTGGGACTACAGGCATGCGCCACCATGCCCGGCTAATTTTTTCTATATATATTAGTTGGCCAATTAATTTCTTTCTATTTATAGTAGAGATGGGGTCTCGCTCTTGCTCAGGCTGGTTTCGAACTCCTGATCTTGAGCAATCCGCCCGCCTCAGCCTCCCAGAGAGCTAGGATTACAGGCATGAGCCACCGCGCCCGGCTTATCCATGAAGACTTTCTAACCAACTGCATATTTCACCTTCCATCTGAGCTACATGGAAATCAATGATTTTTATTTATAAAGTCAGAAAAAAAATGTGTAAGTTTATTGCAAATTTTTGTTAAACATCAGGTTCCTTCCCCTACCAAACAATTCATTGCTTTATAACAAAGAAAAGCATCTCTAAATGAGCTTCAAGTGCTATTACAAAGCATATAGCTGCTGATAGAATGAAATCCACCTGCTAGACCTCTTCTCCAAAGATGAGATCAAAGTAGGTTCTTTTAGACTATTCTGTGAACCACACAGGAGCTATTCCACGACATGTTTTTGCTCATCTATGAACTACTTAGAGTCAGGTGTCATATCCAACCAGGGATGGAAGTGTTGGGGGTCTCCTGAGGAGTGGTGCCCTTCAAATCTGGAGAAGCTTCAATAGCCATCATGACCCAGATCCTCAGAGCCACCTGCTTCAGACACTTTATATGAGCTCAGTCACCTGCATGAAGAGCTGCCAGTGAAAGAGAATCCAGCAATCACTATGCTTTATGGTAGTAACTATGTGCTGGGCACTGAGTTAGTGGCCAGTGACATTGATACAACTGGGTAGTGATCATGAGAAAAAGAAAATACAATGGATTTCTCACCAGAGCCTTTTTCTTATACTTTCCTCATCTATCCCCTAATAACAAATTTGAAAGAAAAAAGTGTCCTGAATTCATACAGGCATTCATGATCCTGCACTAACCACAGGGCCATGGGTTTGCACCTGTTTATTAGTGAAGGTTCCAACAATCCTGTGGTGAGCATTCTTATGCCCATTTTACAGAGAGGGAAGCTGAGGTCAGAGAGAGTCATTACCTGTCTCGTTATCCCGCGACCGCCTTTACATGGAAAGTAGCTCCACGACACCTTGGAGCAGGACGCCACCCTCACTGGGGCCCGGGAGGGGGGAGAGGTGTCCCACACCTCTTAGGAGACAGCGGGGCATCGAGCCCTAAAGTGGGAACGAGCCGACTTGGATCTGGGATCCCTTCGTCTCCCCGCACCCCAGGGCAATTCAGCCCCCACCGCGGGGCCCCCGCACCCTCCGCTGAGTCCAAACACCTGAAGGCGGGACGTGCTTTTCTTGCAAGCCTGGTCTGTTTCTATTAAAAAGTCGTCACGGTCGCCATGTTTGCCATAATGACGTCAGGTTTCTATAGCAACCGTGAGGCAAGGCTGGTCCTGCACACCGGAAATGCCCCCACTTGGCCTTTTGTTCCCTTGCCTTTCCTTGAGAGAAAATACCTTCACTCTTAAGGCTGCACCTGAGAAGGCATGCTAATTAGGGGAATTAGGCTGGGATGGAGGCAATTGGCAGAATTCTGCCCGGTTTGGTGGAACAAAGAATGGCCCCTAGTATCAGGAATTTTGTTTAAAAGTGACAGTAGGGGAGTATCAGCACACAGAAGCCTAGGGAGGTGTCCTAGGGCAGTTGGAGATGAGCTAGCCCTCTGAAGGGGAACATGTAAAACACACACCATGCTAAGTGGTTAGCCATCTTGGCAGAAAACTAAGAGATTGTCTATAATTATGTGATTAAATAATCTAGGAACACCAAAAAAGAAAAAGTCATTAAGATATCTCAGAGTTATTTCAGGGAAGCAGTCCTAGAATAAGACAGTCATTTTGTAGGCAGAAACCTAGTCAATTGAATCATACAATGGTTTGTCATGAGAAAATTCTTATCTTTCATTCTTAATATTTTCTTCCATGAGGAGGGACACTTCTAGCCCCTCTATACAGTCACTCCTTCTTTATCACAAGAGAGCCTTAACTAATTGGTGAATTTGGAAGGAGAAACAGGGGTTGCACAGCCCATGCCCTCTCACTTCAAAACTCCTGGTAATAAGCTGCCCTCGGGGGCACTTGTTCTAATCTACCCTCAGGGGCAGGTCTTACAATGGGCTCACTGCTCTTCTCCACTTTGTGTGTCTCCATGGGTCCTCAGTTATTTCTATGGTCTTGCTGCAAATGGCTTGCATCTTTAAGAGGCTCCCCAAATACCATCCTGCTTTGAGTCTGAGCTTAAAACCAAGAAATAGATGAAAGAAGAAAAATGCATGGACTTTATTCCTCATAAAGATGATATTGGAGGCCGGGCGCGGTGGCTCACGCCTGTAATCCTAGCTCTTGGGAGGCCGAGGCGGGCGGATTGCTCAAGGTCAGGAGTTCAAAACCAGCCTGAGCAAGAGCGAGACCCCGTCTCTACTATAAATAGAAAGAAATTAATTGGCCAACTGATATATATATAAAAAAAAATAGCCGGGCATGGGGGGGCGTGCCTGTAGTCCCACATACATAAGAGGCTGAGGCAGAAGGATCACTTGAGCCCAGGAGTTTGAGGATGCTGTGAGCTAGGCTTACGCCATGGCACTCACTCTAGCCTGGGCAACAAAATGAGACTCTGTCTCAAAAAAAAAAACATGATATTGAAGAATGTGACTTAGGTTTTCTGGCAAATGAGCTTTCTATTCATGAATTACAGAATTGGGCAGATTTATCCACCCAGCAGTGCTTCACTGGGACAGTCACAAAGGCCAAGAACTGCAATGTACATCAATCTCCTGCCTGGTGAAGGAGCCTTGTCTACCTGTGCCCAAGGAAAGTACTTCCTTGCAAGACTATCGCTGTAGCTGGAGAAAGTGTTTCAAAATATCTCCGTTGAGGCCGGGCGCTGTGGCTCACGCCTGTTATCCTAGCTCTTGGGAGGCCGAGGCGGGCGGATTGCTCAAGGTCAGGAGTTCAAAACCAGCCTGAGCAAGAGCGAGACCCGTCTCTACTATAATAAGAAGAAATTAATTGGCCAACTATATATATATAAAAAAATTAGCCGGGCATGGTGGCGCATGCCTGTAGTCCCAGCTACTCGGAGGGCTGAGGCAGAGGATCACTCGAGCCCAGGAGTTTGAGGTTGCTGTGAGCTAGGCTGACGCCACGAGCCTGGACAACAAAGTGAGACTCTGTCTCAAAAAAAAAAAAAAAAAAAAAAATCTCCGTTGAGAAACTCTTCTCAAAGTGCATAAATAACCCTTGTTCAGAATGAATACTCACTAAGCCAATCTCTGAGGCTTTCCTCATGGCCTCATTTGTGATAAAACCCTCTCAGTACTTTAATTCATGTGACTGAAGTGGAGGCTTATCTTATGGAATTTGGTTCCACATTCAAAGACTGGCTTGAAAATAATATATTGTGATAATTTCCCTTGAAAATCTCTTCAAGAAGAAATTAGTTAAATGTTCAGAAATCTACATACACACATAAACCAACACACAGTCCATAGTCAAAATTATATTAATAACAAAGTCCTACCAAACCTTCAAAGATAAGAGAATCCCTTTGTTATCCAATGATGACAGACCACAAAAAGAGAGGGAAAGGTGACCCAAACCAAGCTTTAGACAGCCATTTCTGTTTAACCAACACCCCACAACAATAGGCATTTATTATCGCTCAAAAATTTGTGTGTTGGCTGGGTGTGGTGGCTCACGCCTGTAATCTTAGCACTATGGGAGGCCGAGGCGGGAGGATAGCTCAACGTCAGGAGTTCAAAACAAGCCTCAGCAAGAGTGAGACCCTGTCTCTACTAAAAATAGAAAGAAGTTAATTGGCCAACTAAAAATATATAGGAAAAATTAACTTGGCATGGTGGCACATGCCTGTAGTCCCAGCTACTTGGGAGGCTGAGGCAAGAGGATTGCTTGAGCCCAGGAGTTTGATGTTGCTGTGAGCTAGATTGATGCCATGGCACTCTAGCCTGGTCAACAGAGTGAGACTCTTGTCTCAAAAAAAAAAAAAAAAAGAAAAAAATCTGTGTGTTGACTTGGCTCAGCTAGGTGTTTTTGGCTCCAGGTGATGTCTATTCCTTGGGTCTGCAGTCATCTGGAGGCTACACTCAGCTAGACATTTAAGAGATCTTGTACCCTCGTAAAATTTTGAAATAAAAAAAGAGAGAGTTCACTGACATGAAGGATGATTGGTGCTGATGTCACCTGAAGCTCACATGGGGCTGTTGCCTGGAGCACCTTGGCTCAACACAGAACCCTCTATGTGTAGGATTGCCAGATAAAATAGAGAACATTCAGTTAAGTCTGAATTCCAGATAAAAATGAGTAATTTCTTTAGTGTAAAGGTGATGGTTAATTTTATGTGCTAACTTTGCTGCGACATGTTACCCATATATCTCGTCAATATTACTCTGTTTCTGTGAAGGTATTTCAGGATGAGATTAATGTTTAAATCAGTGGACTTTGAATAAAGCAGACTGTCCTCTACAATAGTGGTGGGCCTCAACTCATCAGTTGGGGGCCTGAATAGAGCAACATTCTGACCCTCTCTGAGCAAAAGGGAGTTCTGCCAGCAGACAGCCTTTGGACTTGAATTGCAACATTGGATCTTTCTTGTTCTCCAGCCTGCAAACCCATCTTGCAGATTGGGCTTCTAGCTTCTGTAATCATGTGAACCAATTCCTTAAAATAAATGTCTCTGAATCTTACCCCCACCCTAGCCCCTTGTCTCTCTCTCTCTCTCTCTTTCACACACACACACACACACACACACACACACACACACACACACACATTCTATTGGTTCTATTTCTCTAAATGTGGCATGCAGTATTACTTTTTTTATCTGAATGCAACCGGACATTCTGTATATTTATTTGCTAAATCTGGCAACCCTAGGGAGGAGCCCCTGAATATGTAAGTTTCCTGACAGTCTGAGATGATATTTACAATGAGGCAAGTCAACATAAAATGAGCAGGTCAGTTCAGCAAAAAGGACAAAAGCTGGTAATCCCTAGTGTTGAGGCAACAAAGGGGAAATAGACTTTCATATACACTTTTGGTGCTAAATGAGCATATCCATTTACTGAGGGCACATTAATAATTTCAATGGCCTTTGTTGCAGAAGTCCTATTTCCACCAAGAAAATAGTTTCTGGTGAGGGTTTAGAAAAGGCTCATCAAGGTGATTCAGATGAACATCTGGTTAAGGAGCACTGGATGAGGGGACAGGTCAAGTTGCCACATGAGCTCCTTGCTGCAAGGAGGAAAGACAACTACTATTTATGAAGCAGATTGCTTAGAAGGGCCCAGTTCCAGGTTCTTTATGCTAGTGTCTGGATTTAATCTCATGACAACCTGGTTGGTGAGGTATGAAGGTTCTCTTTTCATGGATGTATGTGACTATAAAGCATAAATTCCTAACCACAGAGACAGAAGGCAAAGAGGTTGTTCACCACACACACTGCCAGAGCCAGAGATAGAACCTTCCAGCCTGGGCATCTTGAGTTACTGGTGGCAGATCTTTAGCAAATTTATCAGGACACATACTGTTGAGGAGGTTAATCTCTGATCTCCCTGTGTTTACCTTCCCTGCATTTCCAGCAGGGAACCAGGCTTGGTGCCCCTTCCCTTTGCCTCATGGAAGGTTTATGGCAGGGCCAGAAGCAAGCTGTCCAAAGCCATTGTGTATTCCACCCTTTACGAAAACTTAAATTTAAGGGAAGAGTTGTGCTATTTGGACTTGTTAGGGAGAAGAGGGCCTCTTAGGACACAGAGAGGGGAGAGGGAGGAATATTTCTCTCTGATGGGGATGAGGTTGGAGGGCTACAAGCCCTTCCAGGAGTAGGAACTTGAGCACTGCTCCATATCAGTGTTTGAGTTGGATCTGTGGTCCAGGGAGGCTGGTATCCAGCCATGAGACTCATTTTCCCATTTGAATGGAAGGATGGATGGAGCAGGGTTAGGGGTCATGGAGGCACCAAGCCAGCTAGACAAATGGTCAGCTTAGCCCTGAGCAGTGGGTACACATGATGGTAATGGCAGGGGCCTCCCTAGGCTGTACTTAGAGGATAAGTTCCCACAAATGAACACCCTTTGTCAAAAGGCATAATAATTTAACATTTTTAATACTTATTGTCTGGTTGAAATTTAAAAACTTTTTACGAATGAACATCCCAACCTACTACAAGATGAGAGCACTTGTTTTCCCAGATGTGTGCAATAGTGGGTTTCCCAACATTATTAATATTTGCTAATGCACTATCTTATTGCCAGAATGTTAGATTACTCTTAATTTTTCTCCATCTATTTCCATGAGAATGGCATATTTCACATGTGCATTTCT